CCAACTTCGGTACAACGAAGTTAACCGAAGTCTCACGTTTTCGAAGCGAACCGAAGTTACTTCGAAGTCACTTCACTTCGACGGCAACACTAATCAAAATACTCGATCACCAATTGCGTTGAGACGTCGATACTGAGTATTACTGACCACCTGCGATGACCAACTCAAAGGAAGCAGATCCGCATCCATCTCGATGGCGCAGGTTCCTCCGGTACATTGAGGTACTAATCCTGGAGTGCCCAATACATCATGGCTCAACCGCGACCTCATCCCCATGCCCAAAGAGCACCGCACCTACAAGATATGGTCCTATTTCATCTACTGGTGCATCGGTGGTCTCAGCATTTCAGGGTATGCTACCGGCAGCACATTACTCGCGTACGGCCTAGATGCAACACAGGCCATCGTGTCTGTCGTCATCTGCGGTCTTATCGTTGGAGTGCTTTGTGTCACCTGCGGGTGGATGGGAGAGAGGTGAGGATGCTGTGGTCACGGGATGGGTTCCATCGAAATGCTGACAGCGTATGTGAAGACACCATATAGGTTTTACTGTAGCGTGCAGGTTCAGCTGGGGCATGCGGCGAGTGTGCAACAATTAACAGCGGCACATTATGTTGATTCCTCTAGCAGAGGCGCCTATTTTCCTGTTTTCGTTCGTGCTTTTGTGTGAATGATGCGCTAAACGTATTGGAGTACACTGCTTGATTTCACAATTCAAGGGGCATCTTGTAAGTTCTGAGTTTCTTTTTCAAGTGCTAAAAGCTGATACGCGCATTTAGCTGGGATGGCCTCCAGGCCTACTGTGGTGGACAAGGTAACTTGTTTTCTACTCCTGCTCTCTGTTATGCTGCTGACGAACTTTGGTGCAGCTGTTGCGGTACGTCTTCAAGTCCTCGTGCATCTTACTTCATTCCACGCATCTGAATAGGTTACGATCAGCGCCATCATTCCCGGTGCGCAACCTTTCTTTTAGATTGTTTAATGCTTATTTTATGTTGTTTTAGGATTTGCCCACATGTGAGCACACCCAACTTGTTAAGTTTTCTAGCCACTTACACACGATGAAACAGGAAACAGACGTTAGCAGGAGGAATCTTGCTGACCAAGGACTTCATAGGCATAATGTCCGATAGATACTCTTTCCACGAGTCCATTCAACTTGACCGTCGTATGCAGCATCTACTACGTGTTCTTCATCGCAATCATGCGCATCCCTCCTGAGCGACTCCAGAAACCCTTCATCGTCTCGTCTGTCATGTTTAGCGCCACGTAAGCACCGTCACCATTCTAACCTCACGCATGCGCTGCACTTACTCGACAATCCAGCCTGATCGGACTTCTTGCTTGGGCGGTCTCGAACACACATTCTGGCGGTCCCTTGTTTCAGGAGCCAGCGAGTCCCGTTCATGGTGAAACAGGATGGTGAGATCAAGACTTGAGATAAAGTCAAATATCTTGTTAAATAATACGATAGGGCCATGTTATTCGGTATCACTGCGATTCTTGGCGCGTGGTGCGAGACCGTCCTTTTGTCGCTTGCACGCTCACCTGATACATTGGCTATGGTGAATAGGGGCGGTGGAACTATCGGTCAGAGTGACTGGACGCGCTATGCTAACCGGCCATGTCTGCCCAACGTCATCACATTCTTGTTTGTCGGACTAACACGTCCATTCAGATGCGCCTACGCTATCTCAGTTAATCGCTGCGTACGTCTACAATCCATATCTACTATGGTTTACCTGACTGATTACTCTTAGTCCATTTTGCATCATTGTGTGTGCCACGATTGGTATCATCGTCACGTCGTGCGCCCAAGAAATTGTAGGGAGTTTGATTTGGGAGCCTTTCCTGCTTCTCGCAGCTCTGCAGAATTACTAGTAAGTTGGGGGGGAGGGGGAGTTCGTCCGCTGTGTATAGCTTAATTCCTTTCTTCAGTAATGACTCCCCGAAAGGTAAGGACAATTTCACGGTAAGTGTGGGTGCTCACTCCTCCATCGGACAGTTCGCGCCGCGATGTATGTAACATGTTTATGTGCTCTAGCTTCTTCTTTGACTGCGCTTTAGTTTCTTTGCCGGACTTGGTTGTGTATGCGCCCAGCTCAGCATGAGCATTGTTCTCAACTCTGTGAGCG